AGTGCGACTGATATTCGAAGGTGCATTGGAATAGCGAAAGATGCTTTCCAAAAGCTGAGCAAAGTATTAAGAAAAAGGAAAATATTGTTGGAGACAAAGAAAAGATTATTGAACTGTTATGTAATATCGGTTTGCCTCTATGGAAGTGAATGCTCAACAATATCCTCACAGATGAAGAAGAGACGTGAAGAAACAGAAAGATGGTTCTACAGAAGGATGCTGAGAATACAATTGCAACAAAAATAACACTTATGCATAAGACAAGAAAGAGAGAGTTGAAAATTCTGGGGCACATAATGAGGAAAGAGTGTTTGGAAAATTTGATACTCACAAGACATATTGAAGGGAAAAGGGTGCAGTAGAAAGCAGCGCGCAACCTACCTGAGGAACTTCTGTGACTCCTTGGCAGAGCAGGTTTTATGAGATATTGCAAAAAGACAAAAGTTATTAAGAGCTACACAGGACAAGAAATTGTGGAGATCCATGAACGCCAAAGGCCCATAAAAGACGAAGCATAATACGGTGCTGAGCAAAAGTATTTCTAGCACAACCTACCATCTTTTAAGTTTTCTTATCTCCCGTACTAAATTTGATATGTTCTTCTATGTCACGTGATTATATAGGACATAGGCGATTAAGGTTCTCCACACTCTCCTGCCTTTTGTAGCTCTTAATACTTTTTGTCATTTTGTTGGCTCTCCTGTTCTGCTATTTATTTGCCTTTAATCACTCCTGTGAGTGTCAAAATTTCCAAGCCCACTTTCCTCATAATATGCCTTACTAATTTCAACTCCCTCTTTCTGATGTTAAGTATAATCATCCGTTTTGTTACCATTTTCTCTAAAACGTCACCAATGCTCGCATTTTTTATCCATGGTATAACTAATCCATTCGTTACTATCGTTTTGTCTCGAACTGATGGGAGTTTCCTTCCTAACCTTTTGTTTAAAGTACTGTAGAAGGTCAATATTTTCATTATGTCATTATTTCCCCGTATAATTATAAATGCTAACCATCTTTGTTGCGTCTCTGGGGAGTCTTCCACTGATGCTGCTTTTGTTATTTGGTAATAAGGGACGCATGTGTGCATCGTCAGTGGTAGTAAATTTGCAGCGAACCGGTCGACCCAACTTTACTCAGGTGATTTGCGATGCGGAACTGAAATGGTTTACTGTCTACATCCAATTCTCGCACACGACTCCAAGACGTTGCATGAGCACTGAGACCGTCACATCGTTCTGCAGTCTAAACAAGTGTTCGGCAACCTACAGCACACGTGCCACACGTGGCACGCCAAACAATTTCCAATGGCACGCAGCTGCAAATGACATCACGAAGTCCGAACCAATAACTACTACAACCCAAAGAAGATATTTAGCTGTTTCAATTTTAATATATATTAAAGTATGTATATACTATATATTACTATATAAAATATATTGTAAAACAGGTATATTGACCTTGACTTGTATAAAAATACGTATGCTGTTGGCACACTGAATGATTTTAAAACCCTAATCGGCAAATAGTTAGCAAAAGTTGCCGACCCATGATCTAGAATAAAAAATATTCTTAACCGAGGCGTTTCGTCTTCTGAGGGACTTTACCATGACAATGTGATTGCCTTGATATTGATATTGTATACAAATCAGAACTAAAGTTGACGGTGAAATCAATGCATTTTCTTTTTACCAAATTATTTTCTCTTTTACACAGACTTGCATTTTAGGCGGAATTTTGGTGAGCTACGTTACTAGGAAAATATGACTGCTGTTATATAGAACAGGGGTCGCTAACTTACGGCACACGTTGAAAACCAAGCATTTTCCAATGACATCACAAAGTCTGAACCAATAACTACTACAACGCAAAGAAGACATTTTGTGTTGCAGTTTTTTGGGTATGACTTTGTACTAGTGAGCCAGTCAAAATGAGCTGACTCATTTTATAGTTCACCAATAGAAGGTTTAACCAATCAGAAAGCTCAAAATATTCACTTCGACGTGTATAAAGACAGGCATTTTATTTTTTCTCTTTCCATTGCGAACCTGATATCAAAGACTTAAAGAATTACTTAACAGCCACTACTTCTTCTGAATCTTCACTGCCAACCTCTGATATTGAAGAGATTACGTACTTCACTGGATTCCATATTCAGAGACTACGGCAAACATGGTCAACATTTTGCTGTTTCAATTTTAATATATACTAAAGTATATATATATATATATATATATATATATATATATATATATATATATATATATATATATATATATTACCATATAAAATATATTGTAGAACAGGTATACTCAAATTTGACTTGTATAAAAATACGTAAGCTGTTGGACCACAGAATGATTTTAAAACCCTAAGCCGCCACATTGTCAGCAAAAGGGTCTAAAGGTTTAAACTACGTGTGAAGAGGAACACCTTTCCACAACCCACCTGTGACAAGCGGCCATCGGCCAGTTGCCAGCTTAGTTGTAGAAACTATGCCTCATAGGTCAACGGCTAAATGAACAGGTGAAAATGAAATCTTTACCGTAAGGACTTCTGAGAAGAAGGTAACCTCAAACAAAGGAACAGGTGGCAGGTCATTGCACTATTTTGCTTGGATGTCACTGTAAACCACAGTTGCAAGAAATACCACGTGTTCTCACCACAGTTGCGCAAAATACACGAATTGAAAGTGGTGCACACGATACATGATTTTTAAAGAGCACTAAAACTAAAGACTCTTAAGAAAACAGTCTACTACTGAGCAGAACGTCTGATGAAAGGCTTACTCAAATATACTGTGCGTCGTATATAACCACAGAACGCTTGCCTGGTTTCAGATTTATAACTATTTCAAGACAAGTCATCTTATTTGTGCTGATATATAATGATTCAAATAATCAAAATCCTAAAATAACTTACAACGCTTTTATTATGCGAAACAATATATATTAGCACATTCTATTTGCCAAATAAGTTGAGTTGCCTTGCAATAGTTATAAATCTAAAAACATGCATAATTAATAGCTAGCCACTCGTATTCAAAGATAGCCAATCTCTATTGCAGACGTTCGCTCAGGCACATATGCGTTTTCTCAACACTCATAGAGCCAACCTGTGCTTTATTCTGCAACTATGCTGTGACCTTAGTTACAGTTTCTGGGAGAGAGCGTATTATCTAGCGTGATCTACACAAATTGAACAAGGCCAGCATGCTCACACCCTCGGCCACGATGACTTGTGATTTCGTGCTAGCGCAGCTATCAACGACCTCAAAGTGTTCCGTCTACCTAATTTCATTCACAAGGCTTGGGTCAACCCGTGGTATGGTTTTCGGGCATTTTCCAAAGTTAGGATCGTCCGCAACCAGACCGATAAAATCAGGAAGTCTCCTTCCTGACCGTGGTGAGATTCTAACTCGGGAACCACTCGGCTACGCGCCCATAAAAAAAGCAATTGTCATAAATCTGAAAAGATGCGTATTTCTACCACATCTGGTCTGGTGCTTCCGCTGTACATTATTCGGACTATTGTCCTCGTCTTTGTTGCCATATTTATCACAACGTTTCGGCCGTTGCACACTCCGGCCTTCTTCAGGGGGTTGGAATGTCGAACTGAAGCCTTTATTTCGCTCGCTGGGAAAATGCAGAAGGTTAAGATTCAAAGGATTCGTTCGCTAGCGGCCATTTGTAATCATCTGAGTAAACGGTTTTATACAGATTATGTTCTAGACATTTCTAGACATCCATATTAAAGTCCAAATCTTAGGAGGCCGTTTAGAACATGACAAAAAATAATTCGTAGGTTAATATTTCATATTCTGTAGCGTTCTGTGCTTGTCTACCGACACAACTAGTCTTTCGTTCGATGACTTTATTTCCAATATTAAATGCGTGAAATTGATCCATATATTGATCTATTTGAATTGTTTAGAATTTAATAATTGCGCCTTATGAAATTTTACGAAGGATTCAGTGTAATAGCCGTAGTATAAGTGTTTAAACTTTCATTTTTCGTCAGCCTGTTTCGACTCGAAGTTAACAGAACAGATGCGCATGCGCAGTTCCATCAAGGGAAAAAATCTCACTTCCCTTTCAGTTACTATTTTGCGATTCTTTTTCTTCTGTAAATTTTTATCATACTTTCGCTATACATTCCATATACAGAACGTCCTCTTCTAACTTTTAATATCATGATCTGTGTTCTTTTAGGAAATGTTAGTTTGTTGATACCATTAACAGGAGAATTAGGTTTTCATACCTGTCGGGAAATTAGTTACGTTAAATAAATGGCGTTACGACCTCCTGGATAGAAATCGTCGCGCTCTGTGCAAAATTATGAAAGCTCTTAATTAGCAGTGACGTGCTATGAATACCATCATTAATTCGAATAAGTGAACTATGATAGCAGAAGTGAAAGATGAAGTGAAAGGTGAAAATTTGTTTACCAAATTTCTTGGAAGATTTGCCGCTGCATAATCTACTTGGATTCCTTTACTAACAGCCTTTACTAGTTTGGGAGATTATTCTAGAAATGACAATTTTTCGTTCAAATATAAATTTAAGAAAAAAATAACTATATAGTTTTGGATACAAGACGAAAACTAATGGAGAAACTATTGGTATAACCTGTGAAGCAAATCAAGCTACAGGTTGATTGAAATTTAGATTGAAAAGAGGATTGACGGTAGTTTTTAGTGTTTTTGGAAGTTTCTGGTTGGGTGTGGGGTGGAACAAAGCTGGTTGGTGGGTGGGGTTGTATAATAATGTTTTAAATTAAAGGTTGGATTCTTAAGATGTTTTTTTTTTATGGGCTCTATTTTGATCGAAGCAGTATGTCATAAGATATGGCATATCTTTTCACTTGAATGGATTCCCTTAAAAGAGTCTCGGCTGCTTTACTGAAGCATTTGCTGCCTTGATATCGTAGTACGCTCTTACATTAAGGAGGGAAAAAAAGACAGATCCATCTAGCAGTTCAAGTCATTGTTTATAGGTGACATGAACCACAAAAGTTTGCTCCCCAAACATCTAAAATTTCTTCCCTTCCTTCACGCTAGGAAAGCATTGAATTCTTCTTTCTTTCTCATCCATTTTCTATTTCTTCTTTTTTTATTTTTGACTTTTTACCGACTTTTCTTTCTTTCGTTCGATATGCACTTTTTTTAAAAAATCTTTTTTTGTTTTATACTATGTACATCTCTTGTTATACTTTTTTTCTTTTTTTTTATTTCCTATTCGTTTTTTTCGTCTCGTAGAAACTTTGCTCCCTCTTTTCGCATAATCTTCACCTCCTCCTCCCCCCGATGTTTTCATCATTAATTCACCTGCCACCATCTCTTTCTTTTCTAATTTTGTTTACCTTCTATTTTACACGAAGAAATCAGTTTTTCTTTGTTTCACACACATTATTCATATCTCTTCCTCCTTTTCTTTCTATTTTTTATCATTTATTTCACCACCTTTATTTATTTTTTTTTTGGCATACAATCCCCTAAATAATATCTTTCAGTATTCTTTCTTTCGTTCTTTCTTTCTTTATTTCTTTTTTCTTTTTTTTTAGTATTTTCATTTTTTTTCTTTTTTCTAGTATTTTCATTCTTTCTTTCTTTCCTTCTTTCTTTCTTGCATCTTTCTTTCTTTTTTTATTATAGTATTTCATTCTTTTTCTTTTTTCCTTTCATAAGCTATCATTTTCTTTCTTTCTTAGTTTTTTCTTTTTTCTTTCTTTCTTTTTTTTTTTTTTTCTTTTTTTTCCTTTCTTGTAATTTCATTTTTCTTTCTTTCTTTCTTCTTTTTTCTTTCATTTATAGTATCATTCTTTTTTATTTCTTTTTTATTTTTCTTTCTTTTCCTTCTTTCTTTCTTTCTTTCTTTTTTCTAGTATTTCATTCTTTTTTTCTTCGCCTTTCTTGCATTTTTTTCTTTCTTTCTTCTTTCCTTCTTTTTTCTTTTTTTTAGTTTCTAGTATTTTTTTTCTTTTTCTATCATTTAAAATCTTTCTTTCTTTCCTTCTTTCTTTCTTTCTTTTTTTTCTTTTTTTTTTCCTTCTTTCATTTTCTTTTTCTTTTTTCTTTCTTTTTTCTTTTTTTATATTTCATTCTTTCTTTCTTCGCCTATTTCATTCTTTTTCTTTTTTCTTTTTTCTAGTATTTTTCTTTTCTTTCTTCGCCTTTCTTGCATAAAAGCTATTTATCGTTTCTTCTTTTTTTCTCTTTCTTTCTTTCTTTTCATTCATTCTTTCTTTCTTCTTTCTTGCATAAACTATCATTATTATAGTCTTTCTTTCTTTCTTTCCTTCTTTTTCTTTCTTTTTTCTTTCTTTTTTTTTCTTTCTTTTTTTCTTTTCTTTTTGAACTTTCTTAGCTTATTTTTATATTCTTTCTTTCTTTCTTTCTTTCTTTTTTATTTTTTTTCTAGTATTTCATTCTTTCTTTCTTGCTTTCTTAAGCTATCATTATTATAGTCTTTCTTTTCTTACTTTCCTTTCTTTCTCTTAATTCTTTTTTCTAGTATTTCTTTTTTTCTTTTTTCTTGCATATCTATTATTATTCTTTCTTTTTTTTTTTCCTTCTTTCTTTTCTTTCTTTCTTTTTCTTTTTCTAGTATTTCATTCTTTCTTGCATAAGCTATCATTATTATAGTCTTTCTTTCTTTCTAGTATTTTCTTTTTTTTCTTTTCTTTCTTTCTTTCATTTTATAGTCTTTCTTCTTTTTTTTTTTTTTTTTTTCTCTTTTTTTATTTCTTTCTTTCTTTTCTTTCTTTCTTTTTTTTTCGCCTTTTTCTTGCATTATAGTCTTTCTTTTTTCCTTTTTATCTATATTTATTCTTTCTTTCTTATAGTCTTTCTTTCTTTCTTTCTTTCTTTCTTTATTTTTCTTTTTCTAGTATTTCATTCTTTCTTTTTCGTTCTTTTTCATAAGCTATCATTATTTAGTCTTTTTTCTTTTTTCTTTCTTTCTTTCTTTTTTTTTCTTTTTTTTTTTTTCTTTCTTTTTCCTTTCTTCGCTTTCTTTCTTTCTTTTCTTTCTTTTTTCTTTTTTTCTAGTATTTCATTTCTTTTTCTTTCGCATTTTCTTGCATAAGCTTTATCTTTCTTCCTTCTTTCTTTTCTTTTTTCTTTTTTTTATTATAGTCTTTTTCTTTCTTTCTTTCTTTCTTTTCTTTTTTTTTCTTTCTTTTTTTTTTCTAGTATTTCATTTTTTTTCTTTTTCTTCTTTCCATTTTTCTTTTTAAGCTATTTTTCTTTTTTTTTATTTTATTCTTTCTTTTTTTTCTTTTTTTTCTATCATTATTATAGTCTTTCTTTTCTTTCTTTCTTTCTTTTCTTAATTCTTTTTTCTAGTATTTCATTCTTTTCTTCTTTTCGCTAATTATAGTCTTTCTTTTCTTTCCTTCTTTCTTTTCTTTCTTTCTTTTTTTTTCTTTTTTCTAGTATTTCTTTTCTTTCTTTTTTCTTGCATAAGCTATCATTATTTTCTTTCTTTTTTTCTTTTCTTTTCTATTATTTCTTTCTTTCTTTCTTTTTTCATTTTTATAGTCTTTCTTTCTTTCTTTTTTTTCTTTTTTCTAGTATTTCATTCTTTCTTTCTTCCCTTTCTAATTAAGCTATTATTATTATAGTCTTTCTTTTCTTTCCTTCTTTCTTTCTTTTTTCCGTTTTTTCTTTTTCTTTTTTTCATCATTATTATAGTCTTTCTTTTTTTCTTTCTTTCTTTCTTTCTTTTTTTTCTTATTTATTTCTTTCTTTCTTTCTTCTTGCATAAGCTTCATTATTATAGTCTTTCTTTCTTTTTTCCTTCTTTCTTTCTTTCTTTCCTTCTTTCTTTCTTTTTTTTTAGTATTTCATTCTTTCTTCTTATCTTTCTTTCTTTCATTTTTTTCTAGTTTTATTCTTTCTAGTATTTCATTCTTTCTTTCTTTCTTTCTTTCTTTCTTTCTTTTTCTTTTTCTAGTATTTCATTCTTTCTTTCTTCGCCTTTCTTGCATAAGCTATCATTATTATAGTCTTTCTTTCTTTCCTTCTTTCTTTCTTTCTTTCTTTTTCTCATTATTATAGTTTTCTTTCTTTTTTCTTTCTTTCTTTCTTTCTTTTTTTTTTTCTTCTTTCATTCTTTCTTTTCTTGCTTTTTCTATCATTTTATAGTCTTTCTTTCTTTCTTTTTTTTCTTTTTTCTTTCTTTTTTTTATTTGTTTCTCTTTCTTTTTTTCTTGCATTATCATTATTAGCTATTTTTTCTTTCTCTCTTTCTTTCTTTCTTTCTTTCTTTCTTTTTTTCTTTTTTTCTAGTATTTCATTCTTTTTCTTTTTTTCTTTTTTTTCTTTAATTTTTTTTTTCTCCCTTTCTTTCTTTCTTTTCTTTTTGCATAAGCTATCATTATTATAGTCTTTCTTTCTTTTTCTTTTTCTTTTTTCTTTTCTTTCTTCTTTCTTTCTTGCATAAGCTATTATTATTATAGTCTTTCTTTCTTTCTTTTTTCTTTTTTCTAGTATTTCATTCTTTCTTTCTTCGCCTTTCTTGCATAAGCTATCATTATTATAGTCTTTCTTTCTTTCCTTCTTTCTTTCTTTCTTTCTTTTTCTTTTTTCTGTATTTCATTCTTTCTTTCTTCGCCTTTCTTGCATAAGCTATCATTATTATAGTCTTTCTTTCTTTCTTTCTTTCTTTTTTTTTTCTTTTTTCTAGTATTTCATTCTTTCTTTCTTCGCCTTTCTTGCATAAGCTATCATTATTATAGTCTTTCTTTCTTTCTTCTTTCTTCTTTTTTCTTTCTTTTTTTTCTATAATTTCATTCTTTTTTCGCCTTTTTTTTCATTATTTTTCTTTTTTCAAAATTTTCTTTCTTTTTTCTTTCTTTTTCATTATTTAGTCTTTCTTTCTTTCCTTCTTTCTTTCTTTCTTTCTTTTTTTTTTTTCTAGTATTTCATTCTTTCTTTCTTCGCCTTTCTTGCACAAGCTATCATTATTATAGTCTTTCTTTCTTTCTTTCTTTCTTTTTCTTAATTCTTTTTTCTAGTATTTCATTCTTTCTTTCTTCGCCTTTCTTGTTCTTTTTTTCTTTCCTTTTGTTCTTTCTTCTTTTTTTTTTTTTTTCTTTCTTTTCTTTCTTTCCTTTCTTGCATATGCTCCTTTTCTGTTGTCTAACGTTCTTTTTATTTCTTTGTTTCTTCTGGCGTTTCATTCTTTCCTTCTAGTTTTTCCTTACTATTCTTTTTTTCTTTTTTTTTTTTTGTTTTTATTTCTTTCTTTCATTCTTTTTTCTTGCATAAGCTCCCTTATTTTGTTTTTTCTTTTTCTTTCTTTGTTTTCCTTTTTTTCATTTCTTTTTTTGCATAAACAATCTTGAGTCTTTCTTCACAAATTCGCCTTAGTATTATTTTTTTTTTTATTTTTTTTCTTTTCTTTCCTTTTTTTTCATTCATTCTTATTTTTCTTTCTACAAAATTTCTATCATTCTTTCGATGTTTCTTTCTTTTTTTTTTCTTTGTCGTTTTTTCGCCTTTCTTGCATAATCTCCTCTCGGTATTAACTTTCTTTCGTTATTTCATTCGTTCTATTTTTCTGTCTGTTTCAGCGTTTCTTTATTTCATTCTTGAATAAACTCTTCTTACTCTTGTCTTTCTATCATTCTTTCGCTCGGTCCTTGTTTCTTTCTTTCTTGCAGAATCTTTTTCTTTTTTTTCTATTTTTTTCTGTCATTATTTCTTATTTACGTTCTTTTTTTCTTAATCTTCCTTTTCTATAGTCTTTATTTTTTCTTTTTTGCCTTTCTCTCATTCTTTCTATCTTCACCTTTCTTGAACAATCTTCCATTTTCTCTTTTTTTTATTTTTTTGGCTTGTCTTTCATTCTTTCGTCCACACTTTCCCTTTTTGTCTTTCTTCCTTCGACTTTCTTGCATAATTTTCATTATTTTATTGTTTTTATTTTTAATTATTTACCTTTCTTTCTTTCTTTCATTCTTCCTTTCTTTCTTTTACCCATCATCCTTCTTTCTTTCTTTCTTTCTTTCTATTTCGCATCACGCTTTCTTGCTTTCTGCAAGAACATATTTTCTTTCCGTTCATTCATATTGATTCTCTCTTTCTTTTTCTTTCTTCTTTCTTTCTTTCTTTCTTTCTTTCTTTCATTTTCTTTCTTTCATTCTTTCTTTCTTTCACCCATCATCCTTCTTTCTTTCTTTTTCTCATCACACTTTCTTGCTTTCTACAAGAACATAATTACTTTCCGTTCATTTATATTGATTCTTTCTTTCTTTCTTTCTTTCTTTCTTTCTTTCTTTCTTTCTTTCTATTGCCCATCACTCTTTCTTGCTTTCTGCAAGAACATATTTTCTTTCCGTTCATTCATCTTGATTCTTTCTTTATTCCTTTCTTTCTTTCTTTCTTTCATTTTCTTTCTTTCATTCTTTCTTTCTTTCACCCATCATCCTTCTTTCTTTCTTTTTCTCATCACACTTTCTTGCTTTCTACAAGAACATAATTACTTTCCGTTCATTTATATTGATTCTTTCTTTCTTTCTTTCTTTCTTTCTTTCTTTCTTTCTTTCTTTCTTTCTTTCTTTCTATTGCCCATCACTCTTTCTTGCTTTCTACAAGAATATAGTTCTTTCCGATCATTCATCTTGATTCTTTCTTTATTCCTTTCTTTCTTTTACCCATCATCCTTCTTTCTTTCTTTCTTTCTATTTCGCATCACGCTTTCTTGCTTTCTGCAAGAACATATTTTCTTTCCGTTCATTCAGATTGATTCTCTCTTTCTTTTTCTTTCTTTCTTTCTTTCTTTCTGTCTTTCTTACTTTTTTTTTCTTTCTTTCATTCTTTCTTTCTTTCTTTCTTTCACCCATCATCCTGCTTTCTTTCTTTCTTTCTTCCTTTCTTTTTCTCATCACACTTTCATGCTTTCTACAAGAACATAATTACTTTCCGTTCATTTATATTGATTCTCTCTTTCTTTCTTTCTTTCTATTGCCCATCACTCTTTCTTGCTTTCTACAAGAACATAGTTCTTTCCGTTCATTCATCTTGATTCTTTCTTTCTTTCTTTCTTTCTTTCTTTCTTTGAGCGTCTTCTCCAGTTCGATTGTCTACTTCTCTCTCTCTCTCTCTCTCTCTCTCTCTCTCTATCTCTCTCTCTCTCTCTCTCTCTCTCTCTCTCTCTCTCTTCCCCTACTCTATTTTTTTAAATGCCATTTCGCATCAGCACTTGAGCGACCTAGGGTCATCAAAGTAACCTTGAAATTACCCCATTTCTTGGGAAATCAAGTCAAATGGTTTCCAGTTGCCTTCTCCATGGTTCCGGATTCAGAATTGTCCTTTTCCCTCACGAGCTGCCAGTTATACTCTGATATTTAAACCCTAGTTGGGAGACGGGGATGAAAAAGCATATTCGAGAGTGAACGTAATGACCTTGGCTGGAATTTTAACACCATTCTACTTCCTACGCAGATTAACTTCTTTTTTTTTATGTATATTTCTCCTTTTTTTTTTTTCGGGGGGGGATAAATGGCATACACCTTGGGGAGCAAGGTGTTCATTCCGATGCACGGATAATTTTTTCTTCTTATCAACGAACTGCCATGAATTCTTTCGAAAAATAAAGTAATATTTTCCCGATCTAGTTTCTACCGGTTGGTTCTGGTTTGGCATCTCGTCTACAGTCCTTTCTCAAAGACATGCTGTCGCTTCCCTTTGTCTTTTCTACAAGTACCTTCACGGTAACTGCTCTGTTGAGCTATTTTCCCTGGTTTCCAAACTGCATGAATTTAAGCGTGGTACTATACTGGCATCTCTGTCCCATCCTTTAACTGTCGAAACGGTTAAATCTAGTCATCTCTTCTTTTCTAACAGCTTCTTAGATTGCACTTCCCGTCTGTGGAACTCCCTTCCTCTTACTTGCTTCCCTTATAGCTATAATCTTTAATTTTTCAAATGCAATGTTAATCGACATATTCTGATTCGTTGCTCTAATACCCCATCCTTCTCTTTATCCTTTCTTAAATCACGTCTCTTTACTCTTACTCTCAATCCTCTGTAACCCCTTGCGTGCTCGTGGCACTCCTGCTTTGCTTGACGTGAAATTCCTTAAAACCTGTTTGACATTAAGAGAGATTCTTTTCTTTCCCTTGTTAGAAATCCCAATCAAAATTATGAAATACCTCAGGAGCAGAGATAAAGTAAATGATAAGAAAAAGACCTTTTTATTTATTGATACGAAGTTTAGATAAGGTTGGTCCTGAAATGATAACAGTTTTAATTTATCCTACACATGATATCATACCATTCCTACTAATTATATAATTTCACTAGTATATAATTATCAATGCATATCCATATTAAAATAATTTAGAAAGCTATCATATAATAAATAAATTATATTGCACTCCTATAGTAAAGCAATTTACAGTGCATGTCTATAGTAATATGATTTACAAATCATATCTATAGTAAAATAATTTGTATATGTATTTCTGTAATAAAAGGATAATTTAGAAATCTTAAAATAATTCACATTGTATTTCTATATTACACCCGTGTGCAAATAAATTGAAACAAAATGGATAATTCCGTTATTATTATTTGTTTCGTATTTTTCCAACGAAATATTACCCAATGTATATATTAGTACTTCGTATGTCCATTCCACGAAGTCTTTCTTTGAATACTAACCACGGATTTTCGACTGGATTTAAATCAGGAGTTTCTGGTCCAATCTATAATACTTTTGATTTTCTCACAGGTAAGGCTTGCCATTGTGTTTATGCACCGTTACAATTCTTGTATGTTTCCTTGGAGTATCATCCATAGCAGACGATGGTCGTAAGACAACTAATCGACAGTCGAGACAATAGTGTCTGGGCGGGATCAAAATCTGATGCAATGACGGATGACAAAATATATTTCAAGGCCAAACAAATTTCATCATACATATAGAAAATAGATTCATATTACTGCACATGACTGCAAATGTCCTAACATGAGGAAAAAATGGAAATCGATTACACCCTTTCACACCAGTAGGTCTAAAACTGACCGCATGTTGAAAGAAAGGAAACTAAAGCGGTTGTTTCAAATTATTTGCACAAGTGTGTTTAATAATTTACATTACTATAACAAAATAATTTACAATGCATATTTTTACTATAATAAATTAATTAGCAAATCATTATCATAATAAAGATATATAAAAAGCATTTCTGAAGTGAAATAAATTTCAAGATAATACTTTAATAATTTACATTAACTATATAAAAAATAATTGAAAACGTATATCTACAACAACAGTTAAATGTAAAACCATTAATAAAACAATACGACTTATAACATGTGAGTAAAAAAAATATTTCAACATCGAAAACATTTATTCACTTTAGTTTATTAGATATTAAATTAGGTCACTTAGGATCTTTCATAATTTATCTTGACTTTTTATTGATTGTGATGTATATTTATGACTCTTCATGAATTTAAAAGTTTTGAAAACTAACGGCATTTCTACTTTTATTTATAAATACATGTTGCAAATTAAAATCTTTACATTTGCTTAATAATGAATTTGAGTGGGGGCCTGGTCGAGTGATTCTTAGAATTGTTTAAATCCCGCATCAATTTCGTCCAATTAAAGGATTTGACCTGACGTGCTGTTAACCATTCAGATACAAAGCCACTCCTAGGTTGAGCACTTTGGAAGAATGGGAACTTGTCGGCTGATGCTATTAACGCTAAAAACTCTTCGCTATCAATTGAGCAATCTGATAGCCGGTAATGCTTATATCTCGTATATAAGGTATTAACAATTCCCTTTCTCCGTTAGCCGATGGCCTAAGAGAGAGAGAGAGAGAGAGAGAGAGAGAGTTTCCGACTAATATCAAATCGGTCGGGTTCTGATCCTAGCTTGAAGCAACCGAATGTCTAGCCACACTGATGAGCTGTGATACAGCGAAACAGTCTCTCTGTGGATGACTGTATATATATATATGTGTGTGTGTGTGTGTGTGTGTGTGTGTGCGTGTGTGTGCGTGTGTAAATTCTTACCAAGAACAACTACTTTTTGAAACGGAATATCGTGTGTATGATTCCAAGAACATTAACATATCTAAGGTAATCTATCCTTCATCATCTAATAACCGTCACTTCCTATTTTCATACTCGTATGTTCTCATCACATATCTCATTAAATAAAACACTATCTTGTGCGGCTCTTGAGCCTTGTAATTGAGAAAAAAGTGTAAAAAGCCACACTGCCATAATGTCACCTCCATGAATCTAAATAACTGAGCCTGACATTTGATCTAAACTTTGCCTTCGATCTTACAGCTCAATGTACAAAACAGCTTTGCAAAATGAAGGATTGGGGCATGGAGCTACACAATCATCACATTCCTGCCCTGATATAGTTCAAAATCGTCTACGTGGCGTTTTGGGTGATGAATTATTTTTAACCCTACGACCTCTGTCCCACAGAGGAAAGGTCGCCTGTCGCTATTTGCATGGAAAATCTTCTGACTATGTACATTCCCTAGTTGCAAGTATTCAGATCTTAAATGCTAAGCCACGTACACAGGATCTAGTAATCTTTAATCGCTTAGTATTCCATTGGTAAGGAAGAAATTCCATCCAGATGGCTTCTTCCTCAAAATCGTTTCTTTCCTGGAAGATTCTTCCCCAATCACTACTCAATCCATCCACTTACCCGCAAATACCCTTCGGAAATGTGTGAATCCATTTCCACCCTCAGCTATGGGTTAAATAGTAAGATTCTATCTGGAAATTCCACTGTTATTCTTTAAGTAATTCTTAATGCAACATTGACTAAAGAATAATTCTTACAATCCAAAAATATGTTTTGGCTTTAAATCACCCAAAAAGGGTTGATAATCCGTAAAAAAATCCGTCAATTACAGTTTCCTTCAGGACAACAACCTCATTATCTACCTTGACTGGATTTCGGGGCTTTTATTGGTTGAACGAGAATAAACAAGTGTAAGGTAGCAGAAAGGAACGAACGCAGTACAAGAGTTATGCTCCAATATATTGTGAAATATTGCTCCACGGGAGGCGGTTTCTATCTATGTTTCCCAAAAAAGAGTTTGGGGTATTGTTTTAACCACAACCAACCAATTCGAAAGAACCTGTCCGCCTACAATATCAGTATTTCTGTTTATCTCTTTTCTAACGCGGGCCTCTAGTGCCTGTAGGAAACGCTTAACGCAGAGAACGACGCATCTAATATACGTCAGGTAGATATAATATTTTTTTATCGTCTTCTCCATCATGATAAAACACCTTCAATTCGAAATAAAGATGTCTTCTAATTGGTCACCCCTTTCCTTTGTGCAAAACGGATTATTTAAAATATATAAACGGAGTGTACTTAATCAAGGCGATCTGTATGTCTGTTAATCCTTGCAATATGGCGTACAAAGGAGAGAAATAAAAATAAACGCTACAAAAGAAAGAATAAGAATAAGGATTGTGTACGTCTTTATTACGATGTCCGATGTCGATCAAGAACAGATGTTGTTTGACGCTTGCCTAGAATATATATTTCCAAAAGGATCATTATAAAATTGGTGGAAGATAACCCTGCCAAAACTAATTTGTTGTCTCTTTTAATCAACTTTTCTTATTCTTCTTTCCCTTTTACTCATTCAGGTTCTTCGAATTTCTCCGTTCTTGTAAATTCTTCTTCGGCCTTTTCTGTTACTTCTTTTCTTCCATCTCATGTATATTTCTTTTTATGGTTACTTTGTCTTACTCATCTTAGTTTTTTTTTTTTCTCTCATGCCTTTTTCTGCTTTTGGTTGTTCTCGTCCTTCTATTATTATTATTATTATTATTATTATTATTATTATTATTATTTTCTTTTTTTTTTCCTTTGATTTCTGGCGTTTACACATTTCTTTCCGGGCCCCAAGGT